TCTTCACATTTAAAAAGCTGGAACTCTGAAATATTTTTGGACCAGAAAACATTTGAGCAAAATTGCTACTTAAATATAATGTTGGATGGTTTACTTTTAAAATCTATTCCAAATAATCTTATTTTGTACGTTTTTCCTTAGTATTGTGTGTCAAAATCTCACTTTATAAAGTAACTAATACAACAATCTTTACAATAAATGTAGAAAAATAAAAAATGTGCTTCCAGAATGTAGTAGACTAGAATACTATAAAGTAGTATAAGATGAAAGTACTCAGGTAAAGTTCAAGTTAAGTACTTGAGTAAATGTACTTAGTTACTTTCCACCACTGTTACCCTTTATAATTGGGTTTAAACTTCACAATACACAGTATAGGGGGGAAACTACAGAAGCACATTCAATTAGCTGCACTGATTGTACGCTACATGCTTCAGGCTCTGTGAAAAACTAACATTTATTTTGAAGGTTAAAACCCCTTAAACACAACGTTCTAGTCTTCACTGATTTGGATATGTCTGAGCTGTGAAATATGTGTGCTCGCGAGTAATCAGAGAGTCATGTGTCCGTTCTCATCATGTGACCAGATGGTTCTCGTGTCCAATTATTCTCTCTACTCCTTTATGGGAGTCAGATGCTGCAGTGAACATGTGTTTACTGTGGATATGTGAGACGAAACTGAGAGTATTGAATACAACTAAGTAATAAACAACTAAAATGTCATTCTTTCTCTTGTCTCAGGGTCATTTTGGAGGTCAGTGCATGCTGTATGGACTTGTGAACTACAACACCACAGCGAGCCTGATCGGGGTGCAGTCCTCCAGCGCCCCCTCTCTGTGCTACTTCGTGTCGGCCATATCAGTCCTGGTGGCGGTGACGTGCTTCTCTCTGTCTCTGTACTGGGTCTACTCTCTGTGCAGCGACGGGGAAATCAGGAGGTGTGTGTGTGTGTGTGTGTGTGTGTGTGTGTGTGTGTGTGTGTGTGTGTGTGTGTGTGTGTGTGTGTGTGTGTGTGTGTGTGTGTGTGTGTGTGTGTGTGTGTGTGTGTGTGTGTGTGTGTGTGTGTGTGTGTGTGTGTGTGTGTGTGTGTGTGTGTGTGTGTGTGTGTGTGTGTGTGTGTGTGTGTGTGTGTGTGTGTGTGTGTGTGTGTGTGTGTGTGTGTGTGTGTGTGTGTGTGTGTGGTGTGTGTGTGTGTGTGTGTGTGTGTGTGTGTGTGTGTGTGTGTGTGTGTGTGTGTGTGTGTGTGTGTGTGTGGTGTGTGTGTGTGTGTGTGTGTGTGTGTGTGTGTGTGTGTGTGTGTGTGTGTGTGTGTGTGTGTGTGTGTGTGTGTGTGTGTGTGTGTGTGTGTGTGTGTGTGTGTGTGTGTGTGTGTGTGTGTGTGTGTGTGTGTGTGTGTGTGTGTGTGTGTGTGTGTGTGTAGCTCAATATCACAAAACACGTTTGTCTCACTGGGCTTTACAGATTAAAAACAAACAACAACATTGTATAGGGTGGAGTTACAGCAAAATGAGAAGAAAAGATCGTGTGTTGAAGACAAATAGAAATAAAACAAAACAAGATACAACAAAAACATTCAAATTAATTACCATAAAAAGAGATGTTTTACACAGCTTGAATTCAGTTATTCAACTATCAACTCTAAAGAGCTGGACTTTTCGTATTATTGCTTGTTAAAACATATACATTTTCAATCTTTACTCCAGAGTGTCGTTCTTGTTGGTATGATTGACTGAAGCAGCACTCAACCAAGACTTATTGCATTTATTTTGGTGGGTTAGGAAGATCGCGTAATTAGAATTTTCTGAAAGTTGACAGACCTAATCCATGCTGCAGAGCTGCAGGAAGGGAAAACATATTACTAAATCAAAAACGGATCAAAAGGGACAGCGGGTCATGCAATTATCAAATAGTCACACACATGCTGTAGTTTGACGTCATCTCCTCATTTGTTCAGAGGATGAGATAACATTGTTTTCCTCTCTTTTCCTTCTCTTGGAAAATAATTGATCTCGCAGGGATCGCCTGTGGATGAACCTGACGATAGCTGTGAACGGCGTCTTCCTCTTCTTCCTGCTCATCACAGGCTGCATGCTGAAGATCGGACGTGACTCGCTCTGCAACTCTGTCCTCCAGAACGTGCCCAACATCACCAGGTGACACACACACACACACACACACACACACACACACACACACACACACACACACACACAGAATTCAGCCACATGCACAGGCATGTCTACACCAAACCTCTCACATTCAAGTCAGAAATGAAACCTAAAACATGTGAAACCCTGTGAGCTTCACTTCATGTTTTAATGCTCCTTTATCACCATTAATAACACTTTCAGTTGTTCTGTCAATAGAAGCTACACTTCCCCTTACCTTGACATGAATAGCAGATGATACATTACTTTAGAACTCTTGAATTAAAGAATGTAATGAGGATTTTAACGGAAGTCTGCCAGTGAAGATGTCTTCTGTAACTGTTAACACTGACTGAAATGAGAGGTTAATGATGTGTAACTTTCTAACATGCAATCGGCTTCTGTTTCCCAAGATGTGAAGAGGCCCAGGATAGAAATTGGGTCAGTCCGCTTAAAGGGGAAAGGTTCTACAACAGTCTGTACAAAGCCGAGGTCAGTGGACTACTTTCAGATTTATATTTCATTTATAGGACACATTCACAAAGGGGAACAACAGAACTCAGTCAACATACAGACTTATCAAAGCATTTGTAATCATTAATCTCACATAATGACTAAAACATTTAGCTCAATTTGGGGACCTCAAACTTTCTATGTGTTCATAAACCGTATAGCAAAATATTAGCATCATTGAAATGTTAGTTTTCATTCGAATAAGGTCAAACTCTTGTCTTAGTAGTACAGGGACAAGAGGATTTATTTACAAGATGTATGAATGAATGAATGTATGAATGAATACATAGATGCTACAGAAATGTAGATCAAAATAATGTCATTACTGTTCATTCTGGAAAGACACTATAAGTATGCACAACTTGCCCTCTTTCTTATTAATGAAAAGAAAACCACCGAAGTACAAATATAGGTGTTTATTTGACCAACTTAGTCTTTTTGTGTCAGTAGATTCCTCCTAAACTCACCATAAGTTAGCATAAGATAAAGCCTAATTGCATATAATATTTCAGAAAACATTTTAAACAAAAGAATAATTGTCTTAATGTTAGAAATCAGTGTGTGTCTGTCACAATAAAGCTTCCCCCCTCCCCCCCTCAGACGGCGGTGTGGGTGAACTTCTTCTTCTGGATCACCATTGGGGTCCTGGTGGTCCTGCAGAGGCGTCAGAGCTCCGTGTCCAAGATCATCGCAGCGGGCTTCCCAGGGTACGGGGGGGCGGCGGCGGGGGGGCTGTTTGGAGACGCGGGGGTCACAGCTGCCGAGACGGAGCCTTTCTTTAACAATCCTGCAAGTCCACAGTGATCACACAATGATGACATACAGAACACGATAATGTGGGAGGGGGTACATATATGTACTTTGTATTGTTATATCACTGAATATATTTGTGAGACAACATAGACCACAGTATTTTGTATATTTTGCTTTAGGGTGTATTTAAATGTGTGTGCAATAGAAATGAGGATGGGCAGACTGACCACATTGTCCAAAGATATGTATGTTTACCCGTTTGCCACATTTAAACACTATCGCTAATACAATACAGTAGTCTTTCACTGGATCACTCAGAAATGTGTGTTTGTTGTATTTTGTTTACATAACAAGAACTCTCATTTAATCAGTGTTCTGATTTTTATCATTTTTGATGTGACAGATTTGTAAGACATATTTTAACTTGTTTTATACATTTTTTAACTACAAAGCCAATTTCTTTTGTATAGCCTTTAAAGCTCTAATTTTTGGAACAAGCCTTCTTGACTCGGCACTGTCCAACATTTCCATAGTGTTGCCTTGGATGAAGAGTTTTCGAGTTCAACGCCTAGAAACGTCCCCACACAGCGAAACAATTCCCAAATCTAAAACAATTTCCCAATTTGGGATCAATAAAGTTGATCTCATCTCATTGAAATCCAGCCAGAGGGCTAGTGTTCCTACTCAGTGTGCCTTTAACAACACTTGCTTAACCCTTTTTTATAGTGAGTTTCTGTCATGTGCACACACTTTTTTATTCTGTAGGTTGTGTTTTCTCTTTATTTATTATGAATGATTGAATTTTGCATTGAGGCCAAATGTCTTACTTTTGTCTTAAAATGTTTGTCATGAGATCTGGGATAGTTTGGTCTCACTGTGAACGGCTTAAAGAAACACTTGCTACAGTTTGAGAAAATGGGCACGCAATTACGTTACAAATCCTTTCAACGTTGTTTACACAGTGTTACGTATCTGCTCTAATATCCAGTGTAGGATCACTCACAGGTGGTCATCAAACGTCTGTCCTGTGTTTGAGATATTGCACCTAAAAAGGCTGTTTTGTACTGATTGACACATGGCATGCTACATTTTTAACCAATAAACCAAAGACTTAAAATACAATAACTCAACTGGTTTTCTTCTGATGTGTTTTAGAGGGATGGAGATATAAATGTCGACCTGTGTCGCCCTCTGCTGGCTGATAATAAGTACTCAGCTATAGCGGAGATACATTACTAATATCGTGTGTTAAATGAAGTATAGTCATTTAATGTGAGGTATTTTTTGTTAATATTTGAAAAAGGTGTATATGTGATAAGTCATGATTTTATTAAGGTGGCTATTAAGGCATGTAATAATGTATGTGAAAGTGTTTTCCTGCATTGCAATGAATGGTGGTCCTTTACAACTTTTTTCACTTACAAATAAAACAAAAATAATGTTTTTTATTCTAAGACATGACAGCAATTTCAAACTGCCAACTTTAACCTAAGCTTGTGTCTCATTGTTAGCATGAAATCTCATTAATTAAAGCTATAACGTGTTGTAATTTGAAGGCAGTCAATCACCTAATTACGTCATGGAGAACGTGGCTGGTTAGTTCAGTTGGTTAAAGCGTGGTGCTAATAACGCCAAGGTCGCGGGTTCGATACCCGTACTGGCCATAGTAGTTTTTCGGTCTTCACAAGAGAGAGGTTATCTGTGTGAAAAACACCTTTCCCAAATCATCTTTCCATACAATAGTATATATACATATATGTCCATCAGAATTGATAGTGGGTGACTAATGAAATCCTTAAATTGGTTAAGTAACTCCATTGGATTCCAATTTGCTCTACCTCCAGTCTGGAGTCAATTTAGAGCAAAAGTTTAAATTAAATTATTTTTTACCATACTATCAAATAAATACTATATATTATACATATATTTGAATAAAAACATTGAAAAAAACACAAAAAAATACTGAATTTCTGATTTCGATGTTGAACAAGGAGTTAAACGCCATTGCCTGACAGACCAAAATAGACAGATTACTCCTGCTATGACAACATAACTCCAACGCTGTCCCTAACTGTCTAATCTGTGGGGATTACCTGACCTCGTCTGAGCTCTGAGGTACAAGAGAGAGGAGAGACTGGACGTGAAAGAGGGTGACGGAGTGGGATAAATAAGAATATAGGGAAGATTTACCGGCACTGGTAAATTAATTTCCAACAGCTACTTTTACCATACACCTAATGCAGAATCCCTACCTGGAATAACGTTTTTTTTATCATATATTTATACAGGGAATCTGTAAAGGACATCCAAGAAGAGAGAGAACTCTGGAGAACGCTGAGGACTACCTCGACTCTCAGAAGCCCACCAAGCTTGTGATAAAGTTGACTTTGGAGTCCATGGTAAGACCTTTTTGGCTATTAAATAACCTGTGTGTATTCAAACATATCTAAAGATATAGAGAAAAGAGGTTAGAGTCTGATGGTCTGATAGGAATAAAAGAGCGTCATAGACGAGCAGTAGCCATTGAAGACTAAATTGAGCCTTGATAAGCCTCTTAAAGCCACTTCACGTTCTCCCAATCAAATGTTCTGAATACCACCTGTTGATCTGTACAGGACTTTTGATTAACTTGATCTGCTCTTTTTGGCAGGATACTTTACCGCCAAACTAGACGGTACAGAAACACAAGAGTCTTTCAATCTCAAAGTTCGATAATAAAGAGCCTTTAAAATGGAAAAAACATAATTAAATTCAGCGTTTTTCAAACATCACTAAGCCAACATCACAGTTTTGACCTCTGACTTCCCTCCCTCTGTCTGTGCAGAACATGTCTGATAATCAGTGTGAATCTGTGGCGCTGAGCGTGGAGTCCCTGCTGAGCGATGCTAAGAGGATGCAGCTGCAGTGCCGTGAACGCAGCGAGCAGCTCTCCATGGCCGCCACGCAGCTCAGGGTGGAGTCGGCCTCGCTGAGGGAGCAGTGCGAGGCCACGCAGCTCGACATGGTCCACATCCGCCGGCAGCTGGAAGAGCTGATGGACACCAAACACGCCATCGAAGCCAGGGAGAGGCAAACGCGGAAACTCAGCAAGCTCCTGTGAAGAGACACGGGGAGCATAGAGGAGTCATGAACTGTTCTGCATGATCTGCACTCAGGAGGGAAGTGGGCTGAGGAGGAGATGAGAGGAATGGGTTTGGAATACGTTTCAGTTTTAAATGTTTTTTTGAAAGTTAGCGTCAACTTCCACAGACCCCAGAATGTAGTTTTAGACAGAATATTGTTTAAGATTTTACAGAAAAAGCTACTGAATTCTGAATCTGAAGAAGAAAGTAGAACCAGAGCCTAATAAAAAAACTACTGTGTGTGGTTTGCTGGGGAAAAAAAAGAAAAGAAAGCATTTCTTCCAAATGTTCATGTCAAATAAACACAGTCGAAATACACTTATGTCTCTTGCTATTCTCTGGTAGGTCTTCATGTCTTATTTGGTCTTCATTTCCTCACTTTCTCACTATTTGTGCATATGTGGTAGTGGTCCAAGGTTTATTGGAGTACACTATTTGAGGACGAAACAGCGTCCACAGGGTGGAGAAACCCTATAACTGCAGCTACTGTGGGATGACCTTCAACCAGCTGTCACAGCTGATATCATGCCAGATATTTATTACAGGAGAGAAACCCTACCAATACAAGCAGTGTGAGTATGTCTCAGCACTTGGTACACCAACAGATGTCAGGTCACCGGAGTAACACCAGGGGAAAACTGAGCTGAGGTTCACTTTGCAGAGGGGAAGTCCCGCTGTTTTCTTAAGGCAGAGAAACTATACAGATGTTATGAGTGTGCCAACAACGCTATCACTCTGAGCTCTGCTGGAAGAGCTTTGCCAAGAAAGGATGTGTCATCATAAGATAATGCACACAAGAGAGAAACCATACCACTGCGATAATTGTGGGAGGTACTCAGGCCCGGTTCAGAACAAAATGACTCAGGGTGCATCTGAGATTAGAGAGGGTGCAGTGGTAAAGTGCTATTTTTATAAGTGGGGAGTGGACCTAACACCCTCTAGGGGGGTCCTCACCTCCTCTAGGAGGGTCCTCACCTCCTCTAGGGGGGTCCGGGGGCATGCTCCCCCGGGAAGATTTTGTTTTAAATATTGAAGTTAAAAGCATCAATCTGGTACACTTTGAGAGCAAAATGAAGATCTATGTGGTCTTTGCTTGATTCATGCCTTCCCAGTCCCTTATCACGTAGCCTATAAGAGCATGGCGCAGGTTGTTGTAGCCAGTTGTGGTGAAGGCATCTGACGTACTTGAACCAAAATGTCTACATGCATAGCAGAAGATGGCATCTTTTTCACATGAATATTCCAGCCAATCTCTGTTTTGAAACCATGAGCTGCAAAATGAGCGCCTTACCCCACTGTACAGGCGAGTTGGGTACTTTTTTAAATATACCTGGGCAGGCTCTGTTTTGCCGAGGTCCTCTGGCACTTGCAGGCCACTGAAGGGTGGCGGTGTTTGGGGCAACGAAGACGGCTGCGGCTGCTCCGCCTCCGTGGGCGAGGCGGGCAAAGCCGGCGAGTCGGGCGTTATTGTCCACGACAGTGGCCGCGGGTAACGTAATATCCCCATGATCTGAACTGTTATTACCTGTAGTAGATGCAGTGTTACTGCTGGCGATAAGGGCTGGTTGTTTTAACAATTTTCTGATGTCCATCACTGACTGCTGTAAGCACCTTGCAGATGACGAACGCGCAGCGGCACAGGTCACGCGCACCTGACATAATAATAACGTTACTTACCGTTTAAATTGACCAAATAAATGCAGCAGACAATGTTATTTAACCACAATTACAATTTATTTTATTTCAACTAAATTCTTCTTCTTATTATTCTTACTACTATTATTATTATTATTATATATGTAATATTTTTCACTTTTCTTTTTTTTCCACTTTTCATTTTTTTCACTTTTCATTTTTTAAATGAGGGTGCATAACGACTCAATTGAGGGTGCAATGCACCCTTATGCACCCCCGTAGAACCGGGCCTGGAGGTACTTCAAATGTTCCGCTCAGAGCAAAAAACGAAGAACTAGTCAGCGTTTTTTTTCACCTTGTAAGGCTATGGTTTACATTCTCAAGTTAATGTGGTTTATTTGTATTTAATTTTAAGTTCCATACATTTGTAATTCTTATTCCCTATCTATTCTCATTTTCCTGTCAGTAAAAAAGGCAAACTAGTGCTTTGTATCTCTAGTTTTGACCTAGCTAGTCAGTGTTCATGTTTAAACCAATAACATGTTTGGCCACTAGGGGCAGCAGATAACCGTTGCTAAAGTTGCTAGCTAACATTTATCTCGTTACACATCCGGTATGGAGCAACGGTAGACTTTAATTGGAGGCGTGTTTCTTTTGATTGAAAGTATGTCTCCCAGCTGTTATCACGGTTTTCAGAGCTGTGGCTGAAAACAAGTTAGTAAGAGAAGAGTATAAAGCAAAACAGTGTAAGAAACGGTCCTAATTATGCACCGCCCGGAGCACGCTATGTGAACGACATCAAACACACCCGTCCCGTACGTCACCAACAGGTGCATTCATGGTGGATCTGCAGAACCTCGTTAAACCTTTTTATTTATCTGAAAAGTGCAGAGGACTGGTTGTATAATGTAGGCCTACTGAGAATAAAGGAGTAGAGCAGATAACTCTGGGGCACAGAGGAGGACTTCATACAGGTGAGTGCTACAGCAAATTATTTTTAATTTCGGTACTTTATCATAGAAAATAATGGCTATATGAGTTTGCTGAATAAATGAATATGTTATTTTTATTGTTGGGGAATAATTTGCCATGCATGACCTCCTTCGCCAGATGACCAACCTTGAGCAGCCGCTATCTCCCATAAGGAGGGGCTGCCCTAGCATTTTGTTGATGTTGCCAGTTTATGACCGGGCAACTCTCTGTCAGAGATAGTTATTGTTGTGGGACACCTGGAACACATCCTTCTCGGGGTGTAGATGACCCCGAGCCATAAGCGACAACAAATGTGATTCAGTTGCACCTGCTGTTTAGTCTATCTATTGAAGAATGTTGATTATTACACTCTGAACTAGTTAAAACCTGGAGCTACAGAAGAGTTCTTCAGAATTGATTGTGGCATCTCTACCGTGTGGTCAGACCGTGGCCCGTGACATGTCTTGTGAATTCTCTGGCCGAAGCTTCAAATAAACCGTCAGTGTTTGCCATCAAAGCTCCAGCTCTCCATCGTGTCTCTCTTTGAGTCCTGACTCCAATTGCTTCAGAAGTTTCCCCCACATTTATCATGTTATTTGACTTTGTTGGCATTACAATCTATTGCAAACAAACCAAAACCTTTTATATTAAAGTGAAGTCAAGAGTTTATATTATTAATAACACATCTATAGTGGGTATTGTGCCAAAATATATGGAAATGCATCACACAATGATAACATAAGTTAATGTACTTGACAAAATATTGGTCACAAGAAACTATTGTCAACAACCACTGGCCTAGCATTAGTGTTTTGTAAAATATAAGGTATATATAATTAATACATCTGTGTTGTCTTCCTTGGCTGTTTTATTCTGCCAAGTGCTATAAATGGAGTGTTTAGTTGTATTGGAGATCGGGTTATGGGGTGAACAAGTGTATCTGTTGACATTCAATGCTTCTTATTTAGCGTACAGACACAATTACATCCACCTTCTCACTTAATTCTCCGCATTAAGCTATATTCTAAAATGTCATACCTTTTCTTAAGAGTATATATAGTGTGTGCATGCAGTCATAAAACAATCACATGAACACGTAAAACTTTATGTCACAAAAGATTACAACTTTAATCACCATTATAAATCGTTCTATAAATACATGGTTTTCATATCATTAAGAATTTATTTTAAATAGCAATAGATAAAAACAATTAGTCGGTGGTTGGTCAGTGGGTTCAAGGACGCAGATTAAACAACACAACAATCTTCTGGGTCTTAATGAGACAAAACTGTAACAATTAGTGGAAGTCACTGAGTGTGTGTGTGTGTGTGTGTGTGTGTGTGTGTGTGTGTGTGTGTGTGTGTGTGTGTGTGTGTGTGTGTGTGTGTGTGTGTGTGTGTGTGTGTGTGTGTAGTTTGGTTTCTTTGCCCGGGTCTTCAATTCGATCCTCCTTCATCACCGCTCTGTAAGAGAGAAATTAGAAAGGCTTACAGGAAAGAAATCTAAACAGTGTGAATATTGTTGTCCTGTTGCATCATTTTTGACCAGTTAAGCTAAATATGTTTAATTGCAAGGAAGTGTCAGGAAGACTTACTTTCTAATTTCATTTTTAGTGGTGTCAGTGCTGCCGTTGCCTGAAAAGCACACAGAAACAGTACATGTAGCTGCTGTGTGTGGCTCAGTGTTGTGACATTAAGGTCTTAAATCATTGTTATTTTGTGTAATGCCAAACGCGGAGAAATGGAAGAGCAGCTTCTCTTTTTGTACCTTCTTGATAGCATTCCAGTCTTCAAGGATGTCGATTTCCCTCAACATGTAGACGATGAAAGGCCCTGTGAGACAGAGAGGTGTTCAAATCACAAACTACAAAAAGGCTCCGTCATATAAATATGAAAGAAGAAGTTTTACCTGAAACCAGAGCCACTTTCTTTTTCCGCTCCGACCGGCCCAGCAGGTTCTTTCTTTTACACTTCTTGCCCCTCGTCTCATCACTCCACTCTGGAATGAGACAAATACAACGTCCATTACTAAACTCATCTCACTGTTAGATTGATTTATTCAGACGAAATAGGCCCCTTGAGGCAAATGTGTGACAATGGGCTGTATACATGAGAACAAACTTCAATTAATGAATTAACAATCATTTAGTACACAGACTTAGCATAATGTATTCAGATTTATTTTTTCCATCTTTCTAAAGTTCTAAAAGTAATGACTTCTTGATGGAATGCAAATGAAGATACATAATATGATCTTTTTATGGGCATGATTCAAGTCATTTACTAGATGTATTGAAGCCGAAATAGATTGTGTTGTAATTGTGGGTATATAGATGTAGCTAGGGGAGGTCTATCAGCAAACAGTCCTCAGACGGCAGTGATACTGATTTGTACCTGAGGTGAGGTCTGTATTCTGTCTGTCCTCCTCCAGTCTTCTGATCTTCTCCAGCAGTTCAGACTTCATGGCATCTAACAGCAGCGACCGCTCACTCTGTAGCACACAATCATACACAAATACGTACCAAGTTTGTTCAATAACATTGGCTAAAGTGTATGTGTGTAGTATATTATCTGTGTGTGTGTGTGTGTGTGTGTGTGTGTGTTACCTCCAGGTGCTGCTTTGCTCCTTGTAGTTCACACTCGTTCTTGTGTTTGATCACCTGCAGACACAGCTCTCTGTACACTCCTGCAGTTAAAGACAGAGAGGATACTTTTAGAATTGTTTTGACAAAGTTACCATTTATCGATTATAACACAGACATCAACAATTGGTTCCTTGGTCCAAGCGGCTTGCAGTGCAAACCATGAGAGAGAAATCACTGCTCATCATAATTGAGTTTTCTTTGTGTGTTTGACGTACCGGCCACTTGCGTTCGTATCTGCATGCTCTCCTGCAGAGCTAACAGAGGTTCTCGGTATTCTCCAGCCTTTCCTGTCAGCACCTCGTCCAGCTTCACCTTAATCTGATTCTGCCGCTCTCGAAACAACCTGCCATCACATAGGAGCCGTTTTTTTCTTCTGTCTATCCTTCATATGACGGATTATTTCACACCAGAGGGACTACTTACTTATCCTTTAGCTCCTGAAATTGCTTTTCCAGATCCATCATCTCATCTAGACATTCTCCTCTCCTCCGCTCACAGTCTTCATCGTCCATCTCTTCACAGAGGAAGACAAGTGAGAAACAGTGCATTTACTCATGGAGCAATTTAGCAGAGCACCTGGATCTTACCTGAACTCTCCTCTTCCTCCTCTTCCTCACTATCCTCCAAGTCGCTGTCCCTGTCCTCTGCGCTCTCCTCCATGGTCTCCTCTCCGTCTCCACCTTCTCTTCCGTCCTCTCGTGGGTGCTCCACCTCTCCGTTGGCCTCAGGGAGTTGTGACTCTCCTTCCGCCTCCATCTCCTCCTCCGGCTCCCTCTCAGGGGGCTGGGCTGGCATGGCAGACTGAGAAACATGCACACACAAGTTTAAAAGTCAGCCTTCTCTGGTGGACTGATGGTCGTTTTATACACTGGCTAACTCATTCGGACTTTTATACGTTTGCATTTTAGTTGAATAATGGTGAGAGAAATCACAACTGCCTTCCACACACTGACACTGTTGTATGGCGGGAATTATATATGTTTTCCTTATCGATTAATCTTCAGATTATTAGTTGATGAGTAACAACACTGCAGCTGGGTTATAGTAATAGGGTTAGTAATAGTAAACAGTTTACTGTAAACCACAACAAAGAGCACAGAAAGCAGATAAAGGGATGACTCGTATTATTATTTTGGTGAAAGACCAACTTGTCAACTGAATTGTAGCTGATAAATGAAAATATTTTTTTAAAACACTGGGACATCGCACTACCGCTCCCGTGTCTGTCAAGCCAGATAACAACACACAAAACAGAGAAAGACCGGAAATGACCCGGTTTTGTTTGTTAAAAAGCAAAAACAGATAACTTATCTTACAGTTCACTATGAGCGCTTTGTAAAAAACATATTACAAATGAAATAACATGAGGTTATGTCCTTCAACATGTTGCGTTGTACATTAATAGGACCTTTATTTTGTAGCATTACCGGAAGTACTATTTCCATAACTTGACCACTGGCAGCTTCCGTGATGTCATATAGTAAGAGACGTTAAATCGACGGAGGTATTTACAGTAAAAATAAAGACCAGAAATATGCCTAAACCATTTAAAACTGCCTGTCCATTTACCTACAACCCACAATAAATTAACCGAGACTCCTCTTTGCATTTTTATATCGAATTAGTGGCAGATAAAGCACAGTGAAGTCAAGTGCAACACTAGCTAACGATTGAAACCACAGCGAGGGACAGACTGTCTGCTCATCACACTGTCCGACTGTTGAAGTTCATTTATCGGCACATATTCCCTCTATTCGTAGGAACAGCGTTTAGATGACATTAATCCCAATGAAGAATCGCCTCATTCTGCATCCATCCTCCAACTGAACACGGATTAGCAAGTAACGTTATCTGTTCAAGCAGGCAAGCGGAGCTGTTAGTAACAGAAAGTCTTCCCTTCTCCGGACCCCTCACTCACCTTCTCCCTCTGCTCCGCTGCACAACGTTAAAGTATCATTTTCTATATTTACAATTTAAAAAGTACTTCCCCTTCACTTCAGTCCCCAGTTCGACACTTTGCCGGACTCTACAGGGACCAATAGGAGAGACCGCCCCCAAACGTAGTTTGTCCAATCAAAAAGCTCAAGCAGATTCATAAGGCCAATCAGAATCAAGTTCGATTTAGTAATCCATCAGAGTTGGCCAATAGGATGGACTTTATAGAAAATACCGCGCATCTCCTTTTTTTCAATTTTAAAATAATAATAGGAAGTGAGATTACACATGCATTATAATAAATACAACGATAACAGCCGTGAATTATTACAATAATACATGTTTTTTTCACAAAAATGGACGTATCCCTTTTAATTTATAATATTAAATCATGTTTTAACAAAACATGTTTTGGTTCAATTCATGAAGTTTCAATCAAATTAGTGTTGGTAGATTCATTTTAAGAATAATTTATTTATCGCAAAGGAAAACAAATCTGTAAATGTCATAAACAATATGATGCAGCTCGTGTTAAGCATAATATCCTTTATCTCCGGGCCTTTCTCATATAAAGCAGGTATAGACTATACTCTTTATCATGACCAACAATTCCTAGACCTATTTTGCTTCCCACCATGCATACATAATTTCTTCAATTAACCACAAGGTGACACTAAAGTAATACACCATGTCTAGACAGCTATTCAATTGATGTCGGAATTCATATCATCTAGGCATATTTTATGGCAGACATTTTGGCCTGTTATTGCCTGAACAAATTGTGGATGGAACAAAAACAACATTCATGTTATTAAAGCATCTGTGCAACCTACTGGGGGAAATGTTTTCTATTCAAATAGTCCTATAAAGAATGGGTTTTAGTCTTTATTTATTCATAGAAGTTGTTAATAAAGCACATAAAGAATATAAAAAGTAAATTAATTATTTGTTGAACTATGTGCAAGCTAATATTCTGTTGTATAATTGTAGGTAAGGCTAAGGTTTTCTGAAGCAAAGAATGACAAATGAACAAAACAACAGTATTTCCATTTATGTTTTTATTAAAGTTGCATAAAAGTGTAACAAAATTGGGCAAAAACAAGACCTGTTGTTGATATTGCTACATTTGTTTGTGGTTTCGATCTAATCATTGTCCAAAAAAAACACCTTCACTCTTTCAATCTGCACAGTTTAGCTCTTGTATTTAGCCTCAATGATGATAATCAGTATATAATTTTTTTTTGCAATTTTCTCCAACAGTAAAAAAACAGACTCCTCAATAACAGTCTAAGAAGATATAATCCAAACCTGGATTCAGACAAGAAAATCCACTCAAATTCACCTACTGATTGAGCGTGCCTGGTACAATCCGATGTCTCCGAAATAAAACGCAGACCGTGCTCGATTTGGAAACCCCACTAGGAAGGCAAAAGCAATCGCACCAAGGTGTATCTGAGTGGATTTGTGTTCAGCTATGTTAATCCAAGGCATGGCATCAATAAGTGTCATGATCACAATAAAAACAGCCCAGTATTCAAATGGTAAATGCAAGGAACATTGTTTCATCTAAGCAAAATCACTGTATCAAGGCCTAAGTATTAAACACTCACTTCTAAAAAGAAAAAAAAAAGAAATCTCATTTTGTTTTCCAAAAAAGGAGCGACAATATATTCTCCACATGTCGCAGTTCTGCTCACGTGTTTAGCAGTTACCTTTTAAAAAATGAATGTCTCCCCTTTATTTGGTTTGTGTAACATAAATAATACCTAAGGCAACATCTGTTTTTTTTTTTTAAAGGAAAGGAAAAAGGATTGAGGGAGGGAGGGTGGACAAAAGGATGAATATGGGAGGGAGGGAGGAGGAGGAGGGGGGATGATAGGCAGGAAGGACAGAACAGCAAGATGAAAATGGGCCTGTGTGTGTGTGTGTGTGTGTGTGTGTGTGTGTGTGTGTGTGTGTGTGTGTGTTTTGTGTGTGTGTGTGTGTGTGTGTGTGTGTTGGCACTGAGAGAGAAAGACAGACAGTGGAGGTCTGCTGTCTCCGCAGGTGTTAGCAATTGGCCACAGGCATCACAGCTAATGCGTCTCCGATTGGCCGACGGGCTTCAGCCTCTGATCCGATTGGCTCAGATTGAGAAGCAGATGGCTTATCCTCGCAGATGATTGGCAGCTGCGGAGGGGGAACACACACAGGTCCTGTGACAGCTCCCGACCTGTCTCCCTCTCCCTTTCTCTCTCAGTGTGTGTGTGCACATCTGTGTGAGAGGCAGCTGTGTTTGCTAGTGTGTTTCCGTTTTCTACGCCCAGAGGGTGGCGTGTGTGTGTGTGAGTGAGTGTGAGCGAGAGAAGAAAAGGAAGGGTGGATGCATTTAGACAGCTTCAATGTAAAACAGCGGCCTCCATCCATCCCTCCCATTGGTGGGTCTACTGGCATGCAGAGGACATTACAAAGTCTCAACACCAACGTGGAGCTTTAAAGACAATTTCACAGCTTCCACGTGTGTGTGTGTGTGTGTGTGTGTGTGTGTGTGTGTGTGTGTGTGTGTGTGTGTGTGTGTGTGTGTGTGTGTGTGTGCTCCAAACTGACACCTGCCAAACACAAAACAATGTGGCGCACTGAGTAAAGATAAAAGAATAAAAGTGAGGAAGAGACACAGAGAGGGGATGAAACAAAAAAAAACAAGGCAGCTTTGTTCTGGGACTCCCCTTTCAGACTGTCAGTGTGTGTGTGACAAAATCAAGAAAAACAAAACCAGGAACCAGTCCTATTTAAACTAAATCTAATTTGTCGAACTGAACAGCAGAATATACAGGCCGGAAAACACTCCTATTATGTTTGTTGCTGTACATTATGTAGCAACATGTAGCATTTAGCAACACGGACGCACAAATGCATGTATGTGCTTCTAAAGAGCCTCTCTTACAACTGCACTACGCATTGAGGAAAGAAAATAAACTTTTCTTCCTCAAAAATGTGTAATTCAAGCACACCCACCCTAAAGAGAACCTACTTCTACTCTAGCCTCAAAGGAAGATTTGTAGTCTATAATTAGTCGAACCGTTAGACCACCACAGCAACTTTTTTTTAAGGTTCAACCACTATTTCCAGGATCAGATTTCTCTTTTTGTTGGACTAAAATGACGTCCCATTATTTCTCGTGGTCAAAGGGTTCAGATTTTCTTCCATAAAATTACATAGTGCAGATCCACACACAAAAAAGGACAGTCTTTAAATGCACCAGTGTAACAAATGCCTCTGATTATGGGAGGAATTATCTGAAAAGACTGTACTGACCCCGCCAAAAAAGTCGAGTGAATATCCCCCCTGCACTGAAAGCATCACAAGAATCACGGTTGGTAACTCATCTAAAAGAGTAACCCCATTACAAAACAAGGAATCTCATTATAGACATAAGCAGTGATTAGGCCCTGCTTCAAGCTGATTGGCTGTTTCCGCCTTCCACTCTTTTTTGGCCGTCGGAGACTCTTTCCCTTGTTCCTCTTCCCACTCTCAGCCGCTCCTCTCAGTAATTATATGACTCCTCTCCTCTTTTTCTCTTCCTCCTCAGACAGATGGAGGGTGGTTTAAAGGGAGGGTGGGAGGAAGAAGAGCTGGAGGAGGAAGAGGAGTAAAAGCCAAAACAAAGGGTGAAGGACGAGGAGTGGAAAGGGGAAGGAAGGAACGTGCCTGGATGAAGCCCAATGAAACACTTGTTGCTAACTTAACTTTACCAATCTTCGTTTTTTAAGAAGAACGTCCGACTAACAACACAGGAAGGTCACAACACATGGAAATCAAGCTAGGGCTGGATCCAGGCAAGAGGAAACAAGAAGACCCTCAATGGATGGAGACTGACGTTAAAAAAAAAAAAATGGAAAGCAAGGTAGGAAGACGAGAGGTGGAGGGGAGGGTGTGGGTGAGGAGGAGGAGGAGGAGGAGGAGGAGGAGGAGGAGGAGGAGGAGGAGGAGGAGGAGGAGGAGGAGGAGGAGGAGGAGGAGGAGGAGGAGGAGGAGGAGGGACGCATCATTTCTTCTGAGGCGTGGAGAGCTTCTGCATCCCTCGGATCTTGTCCAGCAGCTCAGAGACGAAGTCCTACGGGGAGAGAGGAGGGACAAAACACATGAGTCAGAAACAAACAGTACATAGATATAAGGGTAAAGTGGAGTGAAGAGAGGAAGGAAGGTAAAACAAATCTCACCTCAGTAGGCTTAAAACACTCGACCACTAAGTCCTGAAAATAAATAGAAGACAGTCAGGATATACATCTCGCCTTTGGCACTTGTGCGTCTTTGCATGAGTTGACATGAGTGTATATTTGTCTCCTACCTTGACCCTGGCTCCCCGCTCTACGTCACTGGGCATATCCAGCAGCTCGTCCACATCGATCTCCAGCTCTGGGATGGCCTCCTCCTAACACAAGAGAAAAGGAGGTACATTAGCCTCTGAACACGGAATTACAAACGCATGATTTCTTCTCATAAAACGCCAAAATTAAAGCATTTGTCATAGCTAGAGCATTTAAAAGCAGATTTCTTTGGTCAGATTTTCCAGACTCTGACTGCCCTTGAATGAATCATGTGGAACCAACCGTTGTGTATAGAAAAATAACCAAATCTGAGCTTGAAATTGTGAAAAAATCATCTTGTTTTACGAGTCCTGGAAAAAACCCTATTGATGTTGACCTGAAACCATGAATGAATCAGCTAAGATGTCATGACACGAAATAATCAGAGTAAAATGAACTGAACTGCAAGTTGATACACAGATCAGAATCTAAAAGGTTTTTTAGGTGACAGCTCTCTTGCAGCACAAACACACACACTAGTCAGTCTCTCTTGATGGATTAAGAATAGAAAGGATGATGCAGATTTCTCTCCTTGTTTTATGTTATGTGGTTGTCTGCAAATAGCCCAGCAGACACGTCTGTGTGTGATGTAGGGCTGCTCGATTATGGCAAAAATCATAATCTCGATTATTTGGGTCAATAATTGATATCACAATTATTCAAAACGATTACTTTGAAAACATGAATTTATTGGAGAAAAAAAACGTGAACAGTATGTTTTTAACAGTTGATTACCCTGAACTTTAAGTATAACTCAAATGAAAAACCAAAAAAAAAAAGAAGTATACATTTTTTTTGTATTAATAAGAAAAAAAATAATCGTTTTATTTCGATTACGTTGTTTTCGTAATCGTTGCAAGCCATAATTGTAATTGCGATGAAAATACGATGAATTCAGCAGCCATAGTGTGATGCGGTGCAGTGACTGATGAATGTTCATCACTGAACACTAGAGGGAGCCGTCCTTCTATCACGAAAGACAGGAGAGACAAAGACACTTGAAAAAATACCAATATTTTACTTGGATCCAAAATAGGAAATCAAATTGTTCAATTCAAAACGTATTTGCCTAGATGCACACAGCCTGTAAAAAAACGTGTTCTGTATAAAGAACGAACGAAGAAAGCAATAGCAATGTTGTTTTTGTTGTAACCCAATGAGCCCTGGAGAGGTGTTTTAGGGTATTTAGTTATCTTCATACAGAACCAGGCTAGTTGTTTCTATTTGTTTGCAGTCTTTATGCTAAGCTAAGCTAACTAGCTGCTGGATGAGGCTTCATATTTAGCATACAGATCTTAGGGGTTTCAATCTTGCAATGTTATCCTAGACAAGATATCGAATAAGCATATTTCCAAAATGTGGAACAGTTGCTTAACTCATCACAGTGCATTGTTGAAGGGTTGCCTGTAAACAGCTGACTGTCACACTGTTGCCAAAAGTGAACACACACTCCTGCTACTCCCATAAGGGCGCTCCTTTGAAATCAACACAAAGTCAGAGAATAGCTTCCTCCATTTGAAATTGGCCTGTATTTCACATCCAACCAGAAAAAGCTGCAATAATTGACAATGCACACTTTTAATTCCAGCAAAGCAATTATCGGCTCATACTGATAAACTGACCTCTAATAAGAAGAGCCCCCTTTTCTAGAGCAGAGATATCTAGCTCATTAAATAAATGAAAGTGAAAAGTGAGTTCACTGTAAGTTTGTCTTTGTGTCTCTCTTCCTCTTCCTCGCCACGCCTTCTCCCTCCGGCCAATCAATTCCCTTGTTTTCCTGAAGTGCTTTAATAGTCTCCCTCTGTTTCTCTATCCGTCTCACTCAACCACTCAAGCAGTGTGTGCTATCAAAGGCAACTGGCAACAAGACACACACACACACACACACACACACACACACACACACACACACACACACACACACACACACACACACACACAAATACTCATTTCCCCCTCTTTTGCTGCTCAATTGCTACCCTATATTCATGTCATTCTCTAGGAATCCCACCCTCTCTCCCGTCCTCCCCCTCGGTTAGAGTTGCCCACACCAGCTGTCTCTGCACCTGCCCGACTACCCCCTATTCCACACACACGTACACTCCTTCACACACAGACACAGACACACACACAATTCTGTGTGTGCACATTAACCGAATGTTACTTTTAACAAGTCTCTCACATCTCACACACACATGGATTAAAGAATTATAAAAATTAGCTTTAATATGTCTGAGCTGGATGTGTGTGTGTGTGTGTGTGTGTGTGTGTGTGTGTGTGTGTGTGTGTGTGTGTGTGTGTGTGTGTGTGTGTGTGTGTGTGTGTGTGTGTGTGTGTGTGTGTGTGTGTGTGTGTGTGTGTGTGTGTTATGAGGATTTATGAGCAGGACAGCCTGTGTGTGAGAGATAGAGACTGGAGGTGACAGATAGACTTACTGTCAGCAGAGTAAAACACACACAGGCAAGTTGGCGTACAGACATGTAGTAAGCAGCAAGAGGGTTCAATAAAACCTACACACACACACACACACACACACACACACACACACACACACACACACACACACACACACACACACACACACACACACACACACAATGTACACTATTAACACACACACAGACACATTTGGATTTTACAGAATTTTGGATTTTAAGCTCCTAAAAATTGACACAAAGGGGCAGACATGCTTACACTGCAGACACACTGACTGCTGTACACACACACACACACACACACACACACACAGACTGATCTTCACAACATGTGGGCTCCAAGTGCTGCTATGTGCAGTAAAGAGAGGCGACAAAAAACGTGAGAAAGACAAAGAACACAAATACAGACACAAAATTCTGTTCTGTGAACTTACTGATTTTAGGATAAGAAAAACAGATTTGACTTTTCTTTATGTCTATTTTTCTATATCAACAACATTTCATTTATTTGTATGTGCCATACTAAAAGAAGTTGTAGATGTCTTGTAAATCTCCCATTGCTCATCCTGAAAGCGATACACATTGGCTCATATTTAATACAGCTTACTTGAAAATGATTTTAGAGACGGACTGTTAAATATGCCGGGGGGGAAGGGAACGCAGAGAGGAAGGAAGGTAAGAGGTTAAGAAGCATCTCGAGAAGAGGGAGCAGCTGAGGGGAGTAAACCGAGGGAGGAGGGAGGGAGGGATGTTAAAAAAGGCCGGAAGACAGGCTTCAGAGAGGAGACACAAAGAAAGCGGGGAATCACGAGGGAGGGTTTCCAAAACAATCCTCAGACTGACTCGGTGAACTCGTCTGCAGTCTACAGGGTTTACTGCCGGCTGCAGATGTGATCTGAGAGGTGCCTGCCAGATGTTGGCACACACTGCAGGCTGGTAAACAAAGCAGAGCCGTGTGCAACTATTGGAAGAGGCACATCAGATTTAGACTTATCTTGTCAGTATTATTATTCTTGAGACCATGTGAAACCTATAGTGTAAGAAATAGATAGAGAGAACATGGAAGTTGTTGCTTCTCAATCATCATGGCATATAGTATTTCAATGGAAAGCCTCCAAACGGATCATTTGTATATCAGTTTATGGCATGTGTTACCTGTCTCTTGAAGAACATTTCTCACAGGCATCCAAGGTACACAAATAAATCAAAATCTGAGGAAATTCTTGTAAAGTAAATAGAGGGCATTTTTAACAACTGTATCAAAACATCAGTGTACACACTCACACACAAGTCAAGGAGTTTAATTCAAGTCTAATTGTTCCAGTCGTATGCTCACTACTTCCCAAACCTGTGCCATTGCAACCAAACTGCTCTGCAGCATGTTTACTTCATCATACCTGGCAACAAGAAATACAAATGATACCCACTGTTTCCTATTACTTAGAAAAACCAAGTCCACAGACTAAGTGCAACATTTTGGTCGAGTAATACTCATCAGGGATTCATTTCTTGTCTTCAGGCGTTGTTGTTCACAGTATCTGTTCTTTGTCCTTGCAGAGATAGCCTTACTTTACTTTTGAATAGTTGTATCTCCCTGGCAAGAGAGGTTATGTCTGTTATATCTCGTGTCATAAGACTACACTTCTGTTGATGTTACATACTCGGAACTCTCCCTTTTCAGTCCGAAACAGCCTCATCTTAGAAACTATCTCTATAAACTGCCATATAGACGTTTAATTGTGGCCTCTAAATGTAATTATACTCTGCTGGACAACAAGCGTGCAAATATGATTCAGACAGCACCACAATGAGACTGAGACAGACAGACAGCCGGACGGACACACTGTCTGTCTGCAGGCTGCCCGCAGAACAGAGCAGATGAGATGTGACAGTATGAGAGCGTGTGTGTGTGTGTGTGTGTGTGTCGTAGTAGTACTGTTCCTCTCTCACAGGGGCCGGCTGCTGCAGCCCTGGACAGATCAAATGGCAGCTACAGATTCTTCGTAGCTAAAACATAAGCTACTCACACACACACACACACACACACACACACACACACACACACACACACACACACACACACACACACACACACACACACACACACACACACACACACACAAGTAGGTCAGCGGTCTTCTATTGCAGGAAAAGGCCGATCATCGTAACTGTAAATATTTCCGTAAAGGGAAGTGATGACAGAGAGCGATGAAGTAAAGTCAATGTTTCTAAAGGGAAGTTTGGTCAGACTGTAATAAGGAGTAATGACTCAATATTGAAAAAAAAGACAAAATAACAAAGAAAATGTAGCTAAAAAGCGTATTTTTAAATACATTGGCAGTTCAATTAGTAAAATATATGCTCACAGAAAAATTAATAATATAAATGATTCACCAAATCAACTTTTAAGTCAGTACTCTAACTTAAAATCATATTAAAACTTCCAACACCAAGACAGATTTTCTGGTGAAATGACACACATATACTGCAGCTACAGGCTACGAACAGGAACAGATTCAAAATGCAGATATGAAAAGTGAAAAAAGGGATGTGAGTGTAAAAATGAGAAGCAAAGAAATGAAGGTAGGACAATGTTTGGGGCTTCAACTAACAATTATATTCATTCTTGA